ATCCTTTCACCCTTAGGTGCAGAACGGTCCTGCAGTTAGTTACTTTGTCTTTTATACTTAATTTGTTCAAATCCTTCCTTAAATCTCATGCTTTCCCATGGCCTTATATATTGTTGTAAGCACTGAATTTTATTATACTTAGTAATTACTGGGCGTTTTTATACGCTGTAGAGTCACTAGGGAAGACGGTTAGGTAGCAGCAATATAAGAATCTTTGCAGAAAATACCATGTCTAACTGATAACTCCATTTCTCTTACTTTTAGTCAGGAAGCGACACCTCAGACATTTCAGAATTTGCTTCAGAAGATGGAAAGTCCCCAGAAGAAACAGCGTCTAGTTTGAAAACAGGACTGGAGGACTCCGCTCTCCCTGATACTCAATTACGAGGGGAGGAAAGACCAACAAGCACTTGCCCTTCTCCCAGTGTGGTAGGAGAAGTTGTAAAAACTATACAGCAGTTCATGGAGAAGTTCAGCATGGACCTACTCACTGTTACACAGGCCTTTCTGAAAAACACTGGGGAAGTAGAGACTACTTTAAACTTTCTGCAGACAGGACAGCGCTTGGATGGATACCCTGTGTGGAGCCGAGAGGATGATTTAGAATTGCAAAAAGATGATGAACAGGTCAGAAGTAAACTGATAGCAAAATTTGGAGCCGAAAATGTAGCAAAAAGAATAGCATTTAGGAAGAGTTAGATAGCAAAGTAGCAGAGAATGACTGATCTAGGACTGTGGCAAAAACTTATGAAAGCAGTCATTTTACAAGTACAAATGTGATGGAAAAATTTAATTTAATATTCTGAAGTCTCACAAATTCTTTAAAATGAGCAAGCCTGTATTATATTTTCTTTTTTTATAAAGGACCTATTTTGTATTTTTTTTGGTAATACTGAGTATACTGAAGACTTAAAAATGGTGAAGAGAATCCTGTTCAGTATAAAGCAAACTTTCAGTGATAAAACTTGAAATTATATATCTGCTATATAAACCAGCGGGCACTCCTACCTGTGCGTTGCTGCATGGAAAGGATATTGAATGGAGAGAGCACCGAAATGTGACAGAGCACTGCATGTAGTTTTGACCTTTAACCGCATTAGTACACAATAGCGGCCTGCTCTCTGCCATGCGTCTCGCTTCAGAGTTTTGAGGCTGATCATCTAATACCCTGCTCTGCCAAACAATCTGTCAGTTACCATCTCAGGCCAGTAGGCAGCCATCTCGATTTCTATTTTAAAAAGCAAGCTCTGGGGGTGGGGGGGGAAAAATACTATTTTGGGGGGCAATGTTACTGGGTATAAACAGGATAGTTACAATACACAGTAGTCCCTGCATTTAATTGTATGTATTTAAGTTCCTGTATGCATCCCTCCCTTATTACATTAATTTCTATGGGAAAGATTGCTTTGCTATCTGTAGAATTGCTTAGCATCACTTTTCCCCTGTCCTTGACAGATGGGGGTTATGCCTTGTAATTCTTCTTTGTGATTAAAAACAGATAAGTGTCCTTATCTTCCACATAAACAGACTCATTCATGAGATGACACAAGACAGCAAAAAATGGCTTAAGGAACCAGAGGATCTTTCAGCTTCCAACCTTCTGTGTATTACAGTTATCTTGTTTTCTTCTCGAGAGCAAGGCTTTTCAGTTTTGTTTGGCACAGCACTTGCCCAGCCTATCTTCGAGTAGGCAGCAGAGATGTTTCACTGTCTCAGGCTGAATTTTAAGGTCTGCCAGCCAGCTCTGGCCTAAGTTATCACCTGATTGATTTAGGTGGGATCACCTAAAGCAAAGCTAACTTGATTTAGAGGGAAAGCCTCAAATCATTCCCACATTAGCTTTCGCCTCCTAGGGAAGGATACCTTTTGCAATGGTCAGTGAAGTTTCTAGCTAGGATTGAATGATTTTTGTTCTTAGAAAGCGTACAAGTCAGGTCAGTGCTACTACTAGCCCAGTGTTTTATCTCAAAACAGCGGTGGGGAGTGTGCTCTTTGGCTGCGATCTGCAGTGCATTCCCCTGTAGCAGCGCTCACAGTCATCAGATGAAGGATGTTAGAGGGTGCATCCCTGCCCGTTTCCTTAGTATATATTTATGCACCTGTTTGTCCATGAACCTCTCGGATCCCTTTCTGTATCCACTGATCCCGTTCCCCCCCCCCCCCAAACCCATTTTTTTGTGGCAAGGTACCTGTGTGCTTTAAGCTGACCTCTACCAGTTCTTGACTGCTGGTATTGCACGATAGCAACATTAACTATACCCACTGCCTTCATGATTTCCAAAAACCTTGATTATACACCCCCTTCACCTCCCCCTCCCACCACCCAGCTTGCATCTCTATAGATGGCAGAGCCCCAGCCTCTTTGGTCTAAACAAAATAATGCTTGTATCAGGCCATGGAGTGTAGTTGGCATGACCAGGTGCACATACTGTTTCACATCTGATACAGCTAGGTATAAGTTAATGAAGTCTCAGAGTTCATTTAGGTATCTTATCAGCTAAGAGGGAGAACAACATTGGGAGAATACAGTCACAATCTGAAAAACCTCAGACTGAAATCATGTTCTGGTCACTATTTTAACAATGACTCTCAACATGACACCTGGCCAGTAATCGTAACTCCTGTAAATCTGGCATTCAGTCATCTTTTGGTGAAATAGATGGGCTTATAAAAGATTTTTTTTTTAAACTAATATTATGTTTAGGTTCTTTCCTTATTGCATTACTGTGCTCTTTAAAAAAAAAAAGAAGTCTGAATTAGAACATAGCCAATTTTAAGCCAAATTCAAATTGCATTAAAAGCCAATGATAATGATATAATGCCTGCTACTCCAGTTCAAAAAAAATGTCTGTCCTGAAACACCAACCGACTTACCTGGAGAGTTAACCAACGTTAACCACATAAGTGGCAAAACTCTGTTTTAGACTGTACAATGTTTTACTGTACAGATAATTCCTCCTGAAGAGCGAGGAGAATTCGGTACGTTCATGCTGCTCAGACCGGTTCCTTGGGATTTTTTGTGGACTATCAGACAAGTATTTAACAAGAAAGCCCAGGAGAACACCAAATAAAGCAGTAAGATTTAAAAAGGTTAGGAACTTTACCCGCTGGATTGGAAATCCAAGGACTGCCGATGAGCAGAATCAATGGCAGCCACATCTCAGTTCAGTGTGAGTCTTCACATAACCAAAACTACTCTGGAATTCAAAATGAGAGGGTGTGCACAGTACGTGGCTGCAACATGGAAAAATCAAATGTATGCCTTTTAGTATTACTATGTTTTACCTATTTTAAGTGACGTTTCCTTTAAGGAAGAGTTTATCTTTTGCAGAGCCGCACCAGTCCGACCTGCAATGCAATCTTCCAAATACGTATATTGTGCTTTAACCTTTGTGGAGCCATGCAAAGGCGTTATCTAACTCTGAGACCTTTTCCTCATTCACTCAGTTCACCCGTTAGGTGTGGGAACCAGATAAGACATATGACAGAGAAGGCACGGCTTATTCAAGGTGGCCTGTTCTGGGCTCTCGAAAAGCACCATTTATCCAAGGATTCGTTCTTGTTCATGCAGGCACATGGGTCTAGGTATCTTCATTCCACTTCTCTTCCCATTAAGAAGATGCAGGGATGGCACCACATCCTACAGTTCTGTTTCAGGGCAGCCTGGCTCCACCTTCTCCCATGACCAAAAAAAAAAAAAAAAGAAAATCTGCTCCACCTTTCCTTACCAGGGACACAGTTACATTCCTTCCCCTGTATCAGGGACAGTTTGTCTTCACATGGTGTTATCTCAGGGTCCTGTACTTCTTTTTACGTCAGGAACACTATTTTTGCAGGTCAAGGAGTGTACCTATCTCTTCCTTGTATCCCTATCTGGAGCAATATTTTTAAGCCTTGGGAGGAGGAGCAGAGTGGAAACATGCACGCCAGAGCTGAGTTAAAGACAATTCCAGAAGCAGATGCTGCTGGGTCTGCGAGCCATGCCTGAGCTTTGGCTATTTCCAATAGCTTTCCTTCCGAATTAGTCGGCATTCAACAATATCAGTGATTTCTGGCCATTCATAGTTAGAGTATTTCCCACCAGTGAAGTATTGACTGTATATACTGTTCAAATGTTAACAAAGTCAAAAAGCAATAGACAGGATTACCAAACAGTTTTTTTTTTTTAAATTACCCTTTGATGCGACTTCTCCATCTTATACCTTTTTAGTATAAAAGCAGAGCTTGTTCTTCTGAACTTGCACAACATAAACTTGACATATGCTTCTAAAAATAAAGATAATGGAAGTCTATTATGTGTATGCCAAAGGATGTAGCCTTAGTTTTATCATCAGTCATGCTCACTGTCTTGGAAGTTTGTTTTTTTGTTTGTGTTTCCCCCTCTTCCTCCAAAATTATTTTAAGTTATCTTGCATTAACACTATGGCAACTTCAGATTTTCATCTGGCCACATTGTGCGTGGTTTTAACGTTCCCAAAACGTCTTACCAATTGTTGTAATGAGGAAACGTTGCTAACAGAAAGTAAGGAAGATATGTCGAAATCAATGATCTTGGTTTTTCTCTGAGTGAACTTAAGAAGTGAGAGTAATTTTCAAAACAGTACATTAAAAAACAAAACACACACACCGTATATCATTTGTTTGTTGGGTGACTGGAAACACTGAACATTTTTGTCCAGCTAAGCATTTGATACAAGGAATTGACCGAGCACACTGAAAACAAGTATTCATAATAAAACTTGGGCCACTCAGACTGAGATTGGTTAATGTAAAACTACAATTAGTAACGTACTGAAGAGAGGCTATGTTTGCTCAGAAACAGGCCTGTTAGCGCTTAAAGCGGGAAGCCCTTCAGTAAGAACTGGCCGCTGAGACTGCTTTTAGCTGAACATGCTGAAGGCAGCTCTGATTTAAAGGGACTTTACAAGAGGTGCAGCAGCTCTGCTCTTCCTTGGCGCAGCATGAGTCATACTTCTCTATGTCAGCCTGCCTGCTCCAAGTTTGCACGAGTATTGCGTAAGGGAAGACTTGGATGCTTTGCTTTTGGTGGATTTTCTACCACAGTGCCTGTGCTGCCTGCTCAGCATGGATGTTGAAGTTTAACAATAGGATCCCTAGTAGGAAGGCTGTGATTTCCAGAGCACACAACACCCCACCCTTTGTAGGGATTCAGAGCTCAGCTCTAGCAATTTAGACATCCACTGTACAATAGTAGCAGGTAATCTTTAAGCATCACTAAAGCCTAAGTGTTCAATACAGCATCTGATGTCTCCTTTATGGATCCAGCTTCAAACCTTCCTTATTTAAAGGATACAAGGGTAAGACTACATTGAGAGCTGCCTCTTAAGAAGCAAGACGATCATATTCCAATTCTATAGCTGATGAAGTAGAAGAATCAGACTGTAGAAACAGAAAGAAAAAAGCACCTAAAGTCTTTCCAACCACTAGGAAAATAAGTTTTAAACAATAGGATTCCTCTAATGTTAAGTAGAAATCTTATCTGAGTGGTCTCTAGAAAGAAACCAAGTCCCTGAGAAGCAGACATCTCATCCACAGCTGCTTTCAGATGTTTTTAGCCTTGGCAGTCAGGGCTGACTGCTCCATCCAAGAGAAAAAAGACGACTGAAGGTGAAATTTGGATAGCTACTGACCTTGTACTGAAGATATCATTTGCCACTACAGGAGAAATCTAGTTTCTGTGGAGCACAGACTTAGTAATGCATCTGAATAATTCAGGGTACTGGCACTGCTTAGTGGCAAAATAAGTTCAAATTCAAAATACATTCAAATTCAATTTCAAAAGGCTGCTTCTGAAACATTGCCTAACAATGATCCAGCCCTGCACCCAGCAACCTGGGAAACTCTCCCTGCTGGATACTTCCCCCTCCCACCCCTTACAAGGGGCGAGCGTGCATAGAACTTCATGGATAAAAGAAAGGCTGCAACAAAACACTGACCCGTGAAATCTAAATCATTAACAATAATTATATTGAATTATAACAGAAATTAAAATAAACCCTCCTCCCTCCTGCCCATACCATCTCACCCACTGCTGACCAGTTACGCTCCTAGAGCTGCCTCGGGGGACAACTAAACCCCCCCTCCTCCCAGCCTGCTGTCCTCCAACACCTGCAGCTCTCTCCCCAGCTGCTGCGCGACAGTCTTACCCCAAAGGGACGAGCAGGACATGGGACACTGCTGCCAGCCCCAGCAGAGGATGTTGGAGGACCGCTGCTGGGCTGGGAAGCCCTCTCATTTCTCCTCAAGGCTTCCACTCCTGGTGCTCTCAGGGCTCACTGTTAATTAGGGATGGCTGATTAGTTCATTCCACAAGTCTGCTCATTAGCTGGTAGCTACTTTCTCTTGCTAATCAACATAATTGCTCAGCATCTATCTGCAGAGTCGCTTAACTGCAATACCCAGCAGGACCAAGCAGCAAGTCTCTGCTACAAAAAACAACCCACGCAGCTGCTGTGAATTTGTCAGAAAGGCTTTCTTCCTGCTACTGGAGGTTGCTAATCAGTTAGGGTGAATCCTCCTCCCCCCTACTTTTAATACACACGGTACGTAGAGGCTGGACACAGTTTCTTGCCTATACACCTTCAAACATGAACTCGGTCACTGTATTCCCCCAGCAGTTGAAAATCAGCAGTTTATATTTTTTCTTTTAAACACGCTATTGCAAATTTTTTAATGACATGCAAATGAGGGCTGATCCTTCACGTAGACGTTGTCACTTTTCTACAGAGGGTAGCAAACACCTTCCTAGCCAGCAGGTTTAATACGCGTGCTCCTTGCTGGAGCTACATCGGCATGAGGAGAGCAGCTGACGGCTACAGTGAGCAGGGGCTTGGGGAAAAGGACTGCGGCCAGCGGGGCAGAGCTGGGGCAGACAGGGAAGAGGAGCACTGGGATCCACAGCTGTGAGCCCATGATGTCCATCGACCATCTCAGCACCCTGCAACTGGGCTGTGCGGTGGGAGCCTGCAAGGGGAGGGTGGGGTGGGCACAGCTTGCCGTGGACCTGGACACCCTCCTCCTGCCTCGAGCCTCCTCATCTCTCCTCCAGTGCTCAGCTCTGCCTCGGCCACCTGCTGCCAAGGCTGCGCATCCTCAGCACTGAGCCTCCTGCCTGCTGATGCTTGCACTGCACTCAGCACAGCTGACGTGCTGTCTCTGCAAGGTAGTGGAGATGTTCCAGCGCTGGGGAAATATCAGCGGTGGAGCACGGGCAGGGCCAAGCGGCAGCGTGGTGTGAGCAACGCTGGGTTTCCCCCGGCACTGAGTCCTGGGCACAAGGCCTGGCCTCCCAGGGCTGCGGCAGGGCATCCGAACACATGGGGCAAACGGAGGCAGCGTTCACAGTTTGTGGGTCGTGGCAGAAGCTAGAACAATCAGAGAACAACGGCATAAAATCATTTAGCCAAGCTGGGGACTCTCCTCCCACCTTCACAGCAATTGGTTGGTCAATTGTAAGAAATCAAACACAGAGAAAGCTTACAGGAAAAAAACAAGCTAACTGGAGTGCAGTCGGACCCACTGACACAATACATTGTTTGGGAGAACTACAGAATAATACCGAAACCAACCAAAACCCAATAAAATGCCAAGCAAAATAAATTAGAAGGAAACATACTTTACAAGCAAGTGTTGTGCTAGAGACAATTCTGGATGGAGCAGAGAGGTACCCCAGCTTGCCTGGCACCGCTGGGGGCCACCCCTGCCCCGGCAGCTACCCTGCGATGCCACGTGGGGCTGCTTGCCTCCCGACTCTCCCGACAACCAGCAACTGGACTCTGGAGCTGGTTCAAGGAGAGGCTGGATGCACGGGGCCTTGCTGAATTCAGCTTTGGGATTCCTGTGCTGACGCGAGAGATGCTCATAAACTGCTGCCTCTCCAACACGCAGCGAAGAACTGAGGACCTGCCCGGCACCTCTGGGGTCCGCACGTGCTCAGCGCCCCGGAAACAGGCTTTGCCAGAGGCAGCAGGTGTGTTGCCTCCCCTAAAGCTCCACTTTCCAAAACCCCATTTCTGCTGCTCTGAGCCAGCCGGCCTGCAGCAGGGCCTCCATCCCACGCGCCGTGTGTTCTGCTCCCCCACCACCTGCCCACTTCTGCCCTGGCTTATTCACACTGTCCACAGCCTTTGCCCTTCGCCAAGCTCTGCTCTTGGGCTTGCTGCCCAAACAGCACTCTCCTTCCTATCCTCCTGCCTCAGGTTCACGCTCCGCTCCCGAGCTTCTGCGTCAACGTGCTTTCCACCTTGTCCCTCCTCTGCACATCCTTGACCATCAACGAATCACTGAACGAACGGGGCAACGAATTTGCCCCGTGTGTTCAGACGCTCTGCCACCACAACAGAAATAGCTTCTGTGAGCTCCCTGAATCCACCGAGCTGCAACGTCAACTCAGCCTATCTTCAGCAGCAGCTGAAACTAAACTAGGTAATTTTACACCAAAGCAGATGAAGACAGCTCATAGGATCCCTTGCACTGGCTGAGCTGAGGAGGAACAGTGGCGGTGGGACTCCTGCAAACATCAGAACAGACTTGCCTGTGAAGAGCTTCACAGGAGCTCCATTTCAGTTCACAGTGCTGGTCTGGTAGAACTTCATAAAATAAAGATTGATTGGGCATTGCTGCCACTTTTCATTTAAAACAAAACAAAACAAATAAACAAAAAAACCACAGGCCACACAAACCAGCCTCCCGGAAGGTGTTTAGAGCAAGTAATTCTGAACGCATTGTTAAACAGATGCCTCTTAAAGGGGATCTGCAATTTACACACGGATGTGTGGAAGGAGATGTTTGTGGGCCTTTCATTCCCCAAGTCTGATAACAAGCTTTTCTCCTCATCTGATGGAGCACCAGAAAGAAGAGATAAAAATAATTCCTTTGTTCATTTTCAGACCATATATTCCCACTGTGGATGATGGAGAACGGCACAAGCTATTAAATAAATTAAATAGAATAACTTCTATTCTGTTCTTCTTTGAGCTGCTTGAACTCACTGCCATGAACATATCCTTCCAGTTCCAGTATTTGTACCAATGGAATCTGTGTCCTTACCCTGTCTTTATAGTCTCAGGCTTAGCATAAAATCCTCTCAGTCTCAGATGTGGACTGTGAGATCTCCTGGGGGGAGGAACCATCACTAGTTTTGAAAGCTACAAGGCAGAATTGTTTCAGCAGAAAAATAAATGAATTCACATAGTCCTAGAAATGGATCCCCATATCCAAACTAGCAGTATTTTTATTTTCAGCTACAGCTGCTTTATTCTATTTTCCCATTATACAGTAAATGAACAGACATTTTCCCAGCATTGCTACCAATGCTGGATGCTCATGCACAGGAACAGAGAAAAAGGAAAACTAAGCTAGAAAACTCAGCCATTCAAAAAAAGGGACCTTTCTGGAAACCAGTATCTGGTCATCCTTGTGTCTCTTCTGGCATTGCATAACAGTGGTAGCAGCATGACCAGGAAATGTCCTCTTTGTTCAGATTCCACTTATAACTCCTCTTCTTTTGCAGTACAGTTGCTCTGTGTGGTTTCACTGGTATTTAGCTGTGGCCCATGAAGGATTCGGAGTCTACTGTCTGGTCCTGCTCCTTGGACATTTTATTTGCTCCCATCTGCACATGCTTCCTCTCTTGCATAAACCCTGGGCTTTATTTGGAAAATGGACTTGCATTACTCCAGCCTGCCTTGTGGCTGAGCCTCTGGGAGCCGTGCCAGGATAACGCACTTGCCTGGCCTTGGAGAATGATGCTGCTCTGCTGGCAAAGCTGTCATGAGTGTAGTCAGGGCCTCACAGCCCTCTGCTCCTGTGTAACTGGCCCTTTCACAGCCCACACATGCACAATCACTTACACACACATATGCACGCACCTCTGTCCTCTTTTGCTCCACAAACAGTCTATATACTGCAGCCTTCAGAGAGCAGGCACAGAGAGCAGCTTTTCTGCCTTCAGAATTTGTCACTCAGAGGAGTTATGAGCAAACAAAAGATCCAGCAACATATTTTTCTGTTCTTCTTCGGACTGAACTAGCCGGTAGCCCAGTAAGTCCATCGCATCCTTGCACACATTTTGCACTTTTTCTATTTTCTGGAAGGGAAGGGTCTTCCTCCAGGCCTGGGATACACTCATTGCATCTCTGGACCCAATGTCGAAGGCCTGTGCTCCTTGCCCCGTCCCATGGGTGATGTTGTGAACCCACTTCTGAAGTTCTGGTGTGAAATGGAGTTCTGCAAACCTATACATATGAGCAGCATGTGCTAGTGGGTCTCTGACAATGTCTTCATAGCGAACCAGCAGGTAGCGGTCTTTGAGGAAGCTGGGAATGGCCTGTCTGCCCGCTTTGTAAATCTCAACGTGGCTTTTACAGATTTCCTGCATTGTGTTGTAGGGTCCCATTTCTCCCTTTGTCTTCTGGGACCCCACAACAATGTTACTGTCACGTGTAAGGTCAGCCACCGTGTTCTCTCGGGACCTGAACACAGCACGAGGATCACGCACTAAGTGAATGATTTTGAGGTTCAGAGAGGGATCAGTGAGAAGAGGGTAGAGAACTTTCAGGTCAAAGAACCGGACCTCCTTGATGACAATGTGGCTGTAGGTTTTACAGGCTTCCTCCACCTTGCTGAACGGGTACTTGCCACAGATTGTCCTACAGTTTCCTGCAGTTATTATGTCACTGCGGCTGAACAAGTCACAGGCAGGGGGGGAGCACAAGGCCCGGCTTGTCTCCCACTGAAATAAATCAGACTTTTTCTTCTGGCTAGACATGTAGGCATCAAACACAGACATGTCACACAGAAAGACAGACCTGACTAAGTCCCGCACTGCCATGTGCAAGACTTTGGCGCTGTTCTGGTACATCGTAACCCACACGTGCCATGCAGGCTCCATCAGGTAGAAGACGCTGGGGTGCTGGCTGAAAAGCTGACCAACAAAAGACGATCCTGACCTCCAGGAGGAGAGAATGAGGATGTGGACTGGAGAGGGTTTTTCTTCCGTGGGAGCATCGTTGCTGCAGGGTCGGAAGCGGAAGTGGATCAGACTGAAGGACAGAACTACAAGAATCATGAGCACCTGCACTCCTTTAGATTTCATCACGGTGGCAAGGGACCTGCAGAGACAGACAGAGAAAGTTCAGCTTCACAGGGTCATGAAGAAGGCAGGATGTGGTGAATCAGGGACCTGCTGATCCCCCTGCAGGCCCAGGGCTTTGGAAGACTGCCACACCAGCCAATACCTTGTGACAGCCAAGGCAAGAGGTATCTTCGGAAAGGACACAAATATTGTAGGGCTGAAACTTTTCTGTAATGAAAACACTGTTTATGAGTAAGCCATTCTAATGTATTCTTAGAACATCGCAAAAAACTTGTCCTTACCTTTATCAAAGT